GAGATGACGAGTGTAGAGGTGTAGAGTGTAGAATGGAGTGTAGAGTGTATAGTGTACCGCTGTAGAGTGTAAAATATGGAGGAAGAAAAAAGTCAAAGACGATCTAACGTTTAATGATTGACACGAAATTTAATTGAACTATGACATTAATGAACAATATAACAAAGCACAACGAGGCTGAGAGGGAGGGTGAAGGTTTAGGAACGAGTGTGAGTTAGGGAGTTAGGCGAACAGATGGAGACACGATAGGAAGCGATATATATATTGTATATTATACTAATATATAGAACACACCACGCACACAGCACACACACACAACACACACACACACACACACACCACAACACACACACACCCACACACACACACACACGCGCACAACACACCAGCACACCACCCAACACACACACACACACACACACACAGCCCACACACACACCGCGCTGGCGCACGCAACACACACACACACACAGCCAACACACACACACACACATCCACAACACACACAACAATATATACTCCATATATCCTACTATAATATAGTATATACTACCTATTCATATCATTTTACTATACTATACGTCATAGAATAACAATCACACACGCAACACCATGTAGCTAAAAACAACCAACTTCTAAAAAAATCGGGTCAAAGGGTATTTACACATTCTTAATACAGGAGCTTTCGAGATGTCCCAGCATATCCTCCTCCGCGCTTTCCCTATCACCTATAATAAATAATAATATAATACTTATATATATATATCTATATAGTATTACTATTGTGCTGCCTCTGCTAGCTAATTCGTTAGCAGTTGTAGCTACCTGCACTTTCGTGCTTGCATCGGCACGTGTGCTGCCTCTGCTAGCTAATTCGTTAGCAGTTGTAGCTACCTGCACTTTCGTGTTAGCATTGGCATATGTGCTACCTCTGCTAGTTGATTCGCTAGCAGTGGTAGCTAACTGCATATCCGTGCCTGTGTTAGCACATGTGCTACCTATGCTAACTAATTCGCTAGCAGCGGTGGCTAACCGCACTTGTGTGTCTGCGTTGGAGTTGACACCATGGTTGTTGACATCGCTGGATAGTTGCTGACAGCTTTCGACCGCAGCATCTGACCGATGGTCGGTGGACGCCGGACACTCACCAGCGGCAGACGACGCTCTGCCGGCGCCACCTGGTGCCGCCTGCCCCGCGTGCAGCAAGTTCGTTGCGACGTCGCTATAGCGCGGCGCGGACGGCCGCTGGGTGGCAGCACCTATCGTCTCGCACAGAGAGTCAGTCCGCTCGGCGGGCGCACGCTGCATAGAGCGCCCCCTGCTGGCACACGTCGCTTCTTCCAGGGCGTCACGCTCGGGATTGGCGGGNTCTCGTCTCTCGTCTCTCTCTCTCTCTCTCTCGTACTCTCGTCTCTCTCTCTCTCTCTCTCTCTCTCTCTCTCTCTCTCTCTCTCTCTCTCTCTCTCTCTCTCTCTCTCTCTCTCTCTCTCTCTCTCTCTCTCTCTCTCTCCCCCCTCCCTCCCTCCCTCCTCCTCTCTCTCTCTCTCTACCCCCCCTCCCCTCCCTCCTCTCTCTCTCTCTATCCCTCTCTCAGCGAAGCCTCACGAGTGGAAAGTAATTGAGTAATTTTACATCACGCTCGCAGCGCGCGCGTTTGTGGATTTGCAAGAGTTGCCGTCGAGAGCTGCCAGGAGCAGCTGGAGCTGCAGAGTCTCGTGCTGGGGAGAAGCGGAGGCAGAAGGGAGAGGGGGAGGAAGCTGGGGAAGCTGGAGAAGGGAGAGGGGGAGGGCCCTGCGGCGAGCGGCATTTATCGCGCGCCGCGTTTAATTACTCGATTTCATTAGAGGCGGCGGCGAAATACGAAAATTAATTATAATCGTGTTGCCGAGCGTCAGAGGATAGAAGATGAAACGAACCAGCAGCGGTGATGACAGAGCTAGAGAAGGTAGCAGCAGCAGCGGTGATGACAGAGGTATCATCACCGCTGCTGCTGCTACCTTCTCGCTACCTTCTCTACCTCTGCAGCAGCAGCGGTGATGACAGAGGTAGAGAAGGTAGCAGCAGCAGCGGTGATGACAGAGGTAGAGAAGGTAGCAGCAGCAGCGGTGATGACAGAGGTAGAGAAGGTAGCAGCAGCAGCGCTGCTACCTTTCATCACCGCTGCTGCTACCTTCTCTACCTCTGCTCAGCAGCAGCGGTGATGACAGAGGTAGAGAAGGTAGCAGCAGCAGCGGTGATGACAGAGGTAGAGAAGGTAGCAGCAGCAGCGGTGATGACAGAGGTAGAGAAGGTACCAGCAGCAGCAGCGGTGATGACAGAGGTAGAGAAGGTACCAGCAGCAGCGGTGATGACAGAGGTAGAGAAGGTAGCAGCAGCGGTGATGACAGAGGTAGAGAAGGTACCAGCAGCTGCAGCGGTGCAGACAGAGATAGAGAAGGTGTCAGGAGTGGTATAGGCAGAGGCGGCAAAAGCAGAGGCAGTAAGAAAAGATGCAACAGAAGCAGAGGCGACAATAGCAGCATGGAAGAAGCTGAGGCGGCGGAAGAGGCATCAGTGATGATATTTATCTGAGGCTGACAGACTTAAACTGCGATATCTGGGTCCACCCACACACATGCGCACGCACGAACACGCACGCGCACGCGCACACGCGCACACGCACGAACACGCACGCACACACACGCACACGCACGCACACGCACACACAAGCAAGCACGCACACATACATACACACGCACGCACGCACACATACACATGCAAGCCAGCACGCACGGATATACGTATACAAGTAGCGCACGCAGGTAAGATGACCAGCCATCACGATGACCACTCACACTGACCACAGCCATCACGATGACCACTCACACTGACCAGCCATCACGATGACCACTCACACTGACCAGCCATCACGAT